TATATATATATATATATTAGCGCAATAAAAAATGCTACAAGTCAACTCTACAGAGTGTTTCATAATGGCCATCCTTAATAAATATTTTTAAAACTCTTGTCAAAAATAATTCATAGTTTAATCAATCTCTAAGGAAATTAATTTCTAAGATGGTAAAAAGAAACTCGATCGAAAACTGTCCAATCACTAGTAAAGAAAACTTCTATAGGAAGTTTGATGGAAACGCCAAAACTAGTTTGATTACCTAATAATCATCGTTTAAATACTCTCTATATCCTCCGGCATTCAAACAAAGTTTTGATGTTTCTAGTTCCGACAATTCATGAGATTCAATTTGCGACTCCTAAAGCATATAATTTTTCTACTTCGTAATTTACAAAATTCTAAAATTTCAGAGTGACCATTTGTGGTGGAAATAAGTTCGAGCACTCATTAAAATAACTGAAAATATATATCCCAGCCCGTGATTGATAAGAATTTTTCGAACCCATACTTTTTCAAGATTTATATATAATAAAAGCAAAAATACGCGAAGCTATAAGATACATATATTTCATCCATCTACTTTGGGGCACATGGCTATAGCAGCGCGAATTTTGGATTTTATATGACATGAATCTCGGATGAGAAACTAAGCAATCAGAAAGTAAGTTATCTCAACATAAATTTGAGATTATCTATTGTCCCTCCCGAATTTCCAGTAGAATAAAAGCCAATATTCGCGAAAACAATATTTTCGTATCATGAGCTTCAATACCATCAAAATGTTTACATTTAATAAATAAATCATATGAATTTTATACATCAGTTTTATTCTAAACTAGTTGGAAAATATGTAAAAACTATATCACGAGCCCAAATTCTTTCAGCTAGCAAGCCCCTTTCCTCTCTGATGCTCAAGCAACAGAATTTACACTGAGAGGCCAAATTATTATGACCACCTCAGAGTTTTATGCAAATGAGTTATTGCGTCACAGCGTTGCCGCTAGAGGGCAAGATAACCATAACACGGGAATGCTGGACAAGTGAGTCATCAGTTATACTGTGTTGCTTGCTCATATATGGGAAAGAAAAGTGAATTAACTGAATTTCAACGTGGAATGATTGTGGGTGCGAGATGTGTCGGAACGAGCATAAGCAAAACGGCTGCACTTGTGTAGTGTTCTAGAGCAGCAGTTGTTAATGTGTACAGAGAATGGACAATCAAGCAGAAAACCGGATCTCAACGTCAGACTTGTGGTCGTCACAGGGTACTGAATGCTCGATCAGAGAGAAGACTGGCCAGGGTTGTGCAGCGCAACAGAAGAGCAACAGTGCGACAAATTGCAAGTGATCTTAATCAAGGAGCAACTGTGAACGTCTCTGAACGTACTGTTCGACGCACATTGCGCCGTATAGGGTATGGAAGCAGACGACTGAAGGGGTGGTCATAATAATTTGGCCACTCAGTGTATATTCATTATATTAGGTGTGTTAACTTAAAAATGTCAAACTTAAAAATGTAATTTTAAAAGCACTGTCTTTAACTTGTATTTGTATATTTTAATGAAAACATGATAACTTTTTTTTCAGAAATCTAGGAAATAATCTACTAGAAACCATTCCAGAAACAGCATTCCTAAAATTAACTACGCTTCGCACTCTGTAAGTAAAATATCCTTATTCCACCTTTAATAATTATACTTAAGGAATAGATTATAGTTTATTTTACTATTAAGACTATAAATCATTTAATCTTATGCATAATTTATAATTAGCTATACAGGGTGTCCCGCAAGGTCGTTTACAAACTTAACATGCTGGTCTGTCATATCATGATGAACAAGATTTACATAGGAACTGTTCGCACAGAG